GTACTTTTTTGAGAGGAAAGGATAGGTTCTCCCTTAAGTTAAAATTGTGTTTCATGTAAGTTAATGTTGCACTGCATAGAATCAAAAGGAATCTGGTAGCAACTTTTCTGACTAGCAAGTTGATTAAAAGGCTGCAATTTAGAATTTGCTGGTTGGAAAACGTCCTACCTATCTCCTGGTTAGGATAGGGATAGGATAGGACATGACAGGACGGGACAGAATAGAATTCTTTATTGGCCAAGTGTGATTGGACACACAAGGAATTTGTCTTTGGTGCAGATGCTCTCAGTGTACATAAAAAGACAAGATACATTCGCCAAGAATCATAAGGTAAAACACTGAATGATAGTCATAGGGTACAAATAAGCAATCAGGAAACAATATCAATATAAATCATAAGAATACAAGCAACAAAGTTACAGTTCCACAGTCATAAGTGGAAGAAGATGGGTGATAGGAACAATGAGAAGACAAATAGTAAGGCAGCCTTAGTGAATAGTTTGACACCAATAGTTGGTGAGGAGGGAATTATTTGTTTAGCAGAGTCATTTTGGGCTACTGTAGACTAATGTGGCTTTCCTCCTATGCAGTCTTTGCTGAAGTATTCTGGATTTTACACTGCAGCGGTTGTCTTTAGCTGTTTTATTATTCTGTCTTTGGGTTTTTTAAATTCAACACTCAAGGATTGTAAATTATTTTCATAATTAAGCTGAAATCCATAGTGGCAGAGATGCAGGAAAAGCCATCTTTTTCAAAGCAGAGATAAGAGTATGGGAGATCCACTCCTCGAACAACAAATGAGAGATCCGGGTTTAACTGAAAACTTATTACCGTACAGATTTTGAAAGAGCTGTTCTAGAAACCACCCAAACATTTAACAAGCATTTCAGAGCACTTCTTTTACTTCTTCTCATCGACGGGGAAATATTTCAGTCTTACCGACTGACTTCTTTGGTTTCTCATACCTTTGATTTGTACAGAATGGTACAGATTTGGTTCAATTTAAGTTTATAGGACAGACATAAGCTTTGAATATGAAATCTCATAGCTGTAACCCTTTGATGGTGCCTACTTCCTATTAAGAAGTTTGCAAAACAGGTTTGTCCGGCTGACTGCTAAGCACAAGCAATTAAAGAACCACACAAGTTCTGTGGGAATCCCTTTATTACTGTGGCAGTAACGGAAGCAACAGCTGGGCTTCCTGTCCCAGCATCTCTCCATTGGGCTTCAGTTCTTGGGGTTGCATTATTCAGGTTTGAATCTGCCACTAATCAAAAGAGCAAAAGCCGACAAGGACCAAGTTACATCAGCTCTGTATGGAAGGGTATTTGGCAATGAAACATTTGGTTTTAGCAGGGGTCCCCAAACTTGGCAACTTTAAGACTTGTGGACTTCAACACTATGCTGGCTGGAGAATTCTGGGTGTTGAAGTCCACAAGTCTTAAAGTTGCCAAGTTTGAAGGTCTCTGGGTTATAGGAATAGAGTGGGATAGGGATAGACCTTGTATGTCTTCTAGTCCAGCCCCCTGCTCAAGCAGGAGATCCTATACCATTTCAGACAAGTGACTATTCAGTCTCTTCTTTAAAACATCCAGTGATGGAGCACCTACAACCTCTGGTGGCAAGCTGTTCCACTGGTTAATTGTCCTCACTGTTAGGAAGTTTATCCTTAATTCCAGGTTGCTTCTTTCTTTTATTAGTTTCCAACCATAGTTTCTTGTTCTACCTTCCGGTGCTTTGGAGAATAATGATTAGCAGGCCATTAGTGTATATGGTTCCCTCTTTAAAAGCATTGGGATTAAAGCAGAGCAAAACAGACTTCTGAGAGCCCCTTCCCCTTCGGGAGTCTCGTGAACTCTCAGGGAGCAGGATGGCAAGAAGGAAGAAGAGCATGTCAGGGTGAGACTGATTGGCATGGCTGACTGGGGAATTCTGATAGTTGAAGTCCAAGATCTTTAAAGTTGCCAGGGTTGGATGCCCCTGATTTAGACAGATGCTAAAGGACAGGTGTGTGTGTGTGTATGAGTGTGTGCGCGCGCACCTTTTAGTATGTCTTGACCCTTAGTGACTGCCTGGACAAGTCCCTGCAGTTTTTTTGCCAAGTTTTTCAGAAATGCTTTGCAATTGCATTCTTTCCAGGGTCGAGAGAAAGGGACTGGCCCAAAGTCTTAGATACAGATGAACAGAGTTGGAAGGGACCTTGTAGGTCATCTAGTCCAACCCCCTGCCCAAGCAGGAGACATTACACCATTTCTGACAGATGGCAGTCTAGTCTTTTCTTGAAATCTTCCAGTGATGAAGCTCCCACAACTTCTGAAGGCAATTTCTATTCCATTGGTTGATTGTTCTCATTGTCAAAAAAATTCTCCTTATTTCCAGGTCATTTACAGGTGAAACTCGAAAAATTAGAATATCGTGCAAAAGTTCATTTATTTCAGTAATGCAACTTAAAAGGTGAAACTAATATGAGATAGACTCATTACATGAAAAGCAAGATAGTTCAAGCCGTGATTTGTCATAATTGTGATGATTGTGGCTTGCCGCTTATGAAAACCCCAAAGAAAACCATCATTGACACCCTCCATAAGGAGGGAAAGCCTCAAAAGGGAATTGCA